GGCAGTCTCCAGAAAGGTGCCTTCCTGAGCCATTGTCAAGGAATCTGGGGCCACACCTGATTGTTGCCTGGCTCTCAGACTTCGAGGTAGCCCTGGAACAATAAGCATATTCCACTCAACACTTTGCCGTGGAAAACCCGGGTGGGGAAGGGAGTAGGGGGGCCACCAAACCTTACCCCAAAGCCCCTACAGTACTTGTCATCTTCATCCTCTTGTTCTTTTCCCTTCTGTAAGCCCAAAAGTCTCCACCTGCCAGTGGAACAAGAACTCCTCTAATCTCTAATAGAAGAGTCTCTACGAAAATTCGGGTAGTACTCATTTGGGCAGCACACATACTAAAATTGAACAGATATAGAGATACATCCCTGTGCAAGGATGACACGCAAATTCGTTAAGTGATCCATATTTTTTGCCCTTCAGGCTCCCTGCTCCCCAAGCCTGTTTCTCCGTCTCCCTCTGCCCCCTCAGCTCATGCACACATGTGCGTTCTTTATCTCAAATGGATAAACAAGGAACACCTGGGTGGCTCAGTGGGTTAAGCCTCTGCCTTTGGCTCAGGTCATGATCTCAGGTTCTTGGGATTGAGCCCCACATTGGGCTCTCTGCTCAGCGGGGAGCCTGCTTCTCCCCACCCCCACCTGCCTCTCTGTCTACTTGTGATCTCTGTCAAATAAATAAATAAAATATCAAAAAAAAAAAAAAAACTAACAGGGATTATAAGAGAGGTAAATATTTTGAAACTCATCTATGTTTTATTTTCCTGCAATGTGTTCTAACCATTCTACTCAAGTAATAAAAATTGGAAAATTTTAAGGAAGCTTTGGGAGATATTTTAATGTTAAAAATCTTGTTTTGGGGGCACCTCGGTGACTCAGTGGGTTAAACCTCTGCCTTCCGCTCAGGTCATGATCCCAGGGTCCTGGGATCGGGCCCCGAATCGGGCTCTCTGCTTGGCAGGGAGCCTGCTTCCCCTCTCTCTGCCTGCCTCTCTGCCTACTTGTGATCTCTGTCTGTCAAATAAATAAAATGTTTTTTAAAAATCTTATTTTGGAAGACTATCTAAGCACATGTGGAAATGCTTGTGAGACATTGTTAAGTAAAAAACAAAACAAAACAAAACAAAGGCAAAAAACCAGGACACCAAAAAGTATGTGCAGTTTTATTCCATTTTACATATATTTTGTTTGTGGGTATTTATGTATAGTGAAAATACTGATGATGTTTGCTTTCTTATTTGTGCTTCTGTTTCCCAAGTTCTCTCCAATGAACATATATTATTTGTAAATTAAAAAAAACACAAGTAAGGGTGAATCTGGAAGATAAAATCAAGTGCCAGAGGGCCACTGTGGAGTCCCAGCAACACCATTTACTGGTGTATGACCTAGACAATGCTTCACCAAAAGCTTCAGCTGCCTTCCAGAAAAGGAGGGGATAATAGTACCATGACTATGATAATTAAATGAGATGAGGTGTGTAAAGCCGTTGGTCCTTCCTAATAATGGCCCAGTGATAGTATTGTTATCACTAGCTCAGCCATTCGATGACTCCCTGGGGAATGTTTGTGCTCTGAAATAGTGCTGCTGAATGCCAATACACAGCACAAATCCCTTCTGTAGCATTGTCCGCCCCCCTAGCTCACCTTGCATACCTCCAGCGCCAAGGAGCGCTCTTGCTCCCAAACCTTCCCCTTCACAATGGCCTGTCCTACCCATGTGTGGCTACTGTTTTTCTGGGAAGAAACCTTGACCTGAAGTTCAAAGATTTAAGTCCACATCCCAGCTCTGTGCCTCAGGAGCTGTGTGGCTTTGGACAAGTCACTCCCTGTCTCTGAGCTTGGGAGCCTCATCTGTGAAGTATCTTGAGGAACCTTCCACCCTAGAATTGCCTCATCTCCTTGGCCTGTTAGGTGCATCCGTATGACCTAGGCGGTAGGATGTAGGCTTAGACGATGGTCTGTTAGGGTGCTGGGTGGGAAACTGTCCTGCATGCGTGAGGTGTGAGCTTCCAAAAAAACCTATCTAGACTGTTGGGTCTCAGTTCAGTCCCTAGAAGGGTGATGGCTGCCTTCAACATAATGCTCTGAGGGAAACACAGCATTGCTTCTGGAATATTCCTGCCAAAAATGCATAAGCTGAATTCGGTCATGAGACTGAATTCACATCAGACAAACTCAAACTGAGGGACATTCCACAAAATAACTGGCCTGACCTCCTCCAAGACATCAGTGTCACAAAACACTGAAGAACAGCTCCAGGTTAAAGGAGGTCAAATAAATTGACAGCTGCTTGCACTATGTGATCCAGAGGTTTTGTTGGGCTATACAGGACTTTTTTGGAAGAGCTGGTAAAAGCTGAACAAGATCTGAAGATTAGACCATAGAATTTTGTCAATGTGAATGTCCCGAGTTTTGTCATTGTACTGTGGTTATATTAAAAAAAATGCCTTTGTTTTTAGGAAAAACCCACTGAAGTATTTAGGCCTAAAGGGGCTCATGTCTTACATACAGATAAATACACACACATATATTTATATTTTTTATATACACACATAGAGAAGAAATGATAAGATAAAAGTGATAAAATGTTAACATTTGGGAAAACTGGGTGAAGGAGCTATGGGAATTCTTTGCATTGTTCTTGCAGATTTTCTGAAGTCTGAAATGTGTGGAGAAGAAGGCCAGCTGCGTGCTTCTGGCTCTGCAGAAAAGACAGTTTTACAGAGCCCTGACAGAGTACGGGAGAATCTCATCTGACCCCACAGCCACCCCATTCAAAGCTAGGATGCCCATTTTGCAGGGGAGGATTCTGACATCAGATGCAGGAAGGGACTTGCCCTGTGCTCACAGCCCGAGGCCTGGATGTGGTAGAGCTGGCGTATGAACTTGAATCTGACTCCTCACGCCTCAAACTCATCACCATCTTCACTGCAACAAGGTCACAGACTCCCTGCACCATGTCTGGGACTGAGCAAAGAAAACATAGCTTCTCCACTCTTTGTAGAATAACACAGAGGGGAGGGGTTAGAAGGCAGAACTAAACTTAGTTCACCCCAGGATAAAACTTGATCTAATTCAACAACTTCAATGTTCTCTTGAGTTTTCTTGAATTCGGAGAGACTCAGTCTCTTTGGTATAATTGCTCAGGCTTCCTGATTCCTCCTTTCCTCCCCTGCTTCTCCCAAATAGGACGGCTGTGCTGGGGATGAGGAGTTTCAGTGACCGGCATCTGCTGGAATCTTTCTAGCGGCAGCTGGTTGCTGGTGAACTGGTCAGGCCTCCTGCTGACTCATCAAGGCCTACTGCTGACACTGGCTAAGGTCACCTCACATTGGCGAGCTGTAGTTCTGTGGCCGGCTCTGGGGTTCTTATCTGGCTCTCTTTCTAGGCTCTCAACACAAAGCCCACTCCACCCCACCACACTGGGTCCTAAAACAGGCCCAGAGGCCATCAGTTCAATGTCTAGGTCATCCAGAAACTGAGGGGGATACAGAGGCAAGGCTGATACTCAGGAAGCATGCTTTGTTATTAAAATAATTCAGTACTTTCCTCCTGGTTGGTAAAAAGTGGTGGCCCAAGATCCTTCTGTATCCCCTCCCTGCTCCTCCAGTCCAGCTGCCTCTGGCACCTTCCCAGGTCCCTTTCATACCAGCAACTAAAGGGTTAACATAGCAGCTAGCCTCCAAGACTCAGCTCCAGGCCTGAGACTCACTCCCTCCTTATGGTAAGTATTTTGAATAGCACCACTCTTCTTAGCCAGGCCAAGCAGGGGCCTTTCTCTTACTCCAAGACTACCCTGAACTCCTCTGAAAAGTCTCAAAGGACGGTGGGTGAGAGCCCCTCTGTCCTTGGCATTCCCTTCACCTTATTGAACATGCCTGCCCCTTTCTGGGCTCCACCCCAGGAGAAGGTGGGTCAACACAGGAGGTCTTCCCCAGCTCCCTTCCCCCACCCCCAGGCCCTGTTTACTATCCCGGCAAATATATTCTTCCCAGCCTGCCTGACACCGGAAGCTGCCGGCCCATAGCCATGTGACACAGCTCTGGCCCCTGAGAAGGAGGCAGAAGTCTGCTGGGGACAGTTCCAGGGACAGCGTTTGCTTTCCTGGTAAAAGTGAGAGACTTGCTCAGTTCAACCCTCCCCCTGCTTCCTGCTTCAAACAATGACGTTGCGCTGAAGTTTTGGAGGCCATAGGGGACCCAACAGGATGCTCGCCCGATGTGGTTTCTGCCTAACTCCAGATAAGCCCCTGCAAGTTGAGATACCTATTTTTCAGCCAGATGTCATCCTAATGCAGGGTAACTGGCATGTGACTCTGTCATCCTACCTCCCAGACTGCTCACGTTTTCTCCTGGCCTTCCGGCCTTCCCGTGCCCACGGTTGCCCTGGGTCTGGCTGAGGCCCACTTCTCCCCTCTCTGCTTATCCTGCATAAGTAAAAACTGTTTTCCTAAAAGCCTGTGGTCTTTTTCACCTGGCCAGGCCCTTGGAATACTAAAATAGGAGATAAAAGAACCTAGAGAAATCCTTTCACTCTTGAGGGCCTGCCTTTTAAAATGCCAAAGGATATTAACTCTACCATTATTCATCCTTTCTGTAATTAGCTCATTATTATTATTAGCTCACATTGTTACTATTAACTCTAACCTCCTTTTTGCATTCCTTCTATAAGGTCCAATTCTCCTGATATTACCATTTATCCCCACTGCATGCATGAGAAGACTCAGGATACTTGTGGAGATTGGGTAATTTTTCCAGAGTTGGAGAGAGTAGAAGGGATCTTATAGGCAGACGTGAAACCATTTACCAAGGTCATTAATACCCACTGGCCCCGGGCGCCTCGCCTCCCTTCACCAACCATCCCTCCATCCCGGCCATACCAAGACCTCATGTACCCCCATACCCCCAGCACGGGGTGGCCTGGTGGTGAGCAAGCAGCAAAGGAGACAGCCAGTAGCAGGTGTTTATTGGAGAGCAAGGGTGCCAGCCCCAGAACCAGCTCCACATTAAGGCTTAGAGATCAGAGGCCTAATTCCATAGGGGATGCAGCACAGGGAGGCATCTGGGCACATGTGCATGTAGGTTTCTTGCCTTGTACAGTAAGTCCGGCAGGCCCCCTGGCCCTTCCAGCACCGCTTAAATTCACTTCTCCCTAGGCAGAGGAAGACCACAAGTCACAGGGCAGCCCAGGCATTGCAGGTTAGACTGCTGTGCACAGCTTTGACCATACATCAGGGGTTAAGCCACAGGTCACAGATAAATCCCTGACCACAAGCTAGACCACGGGACCCACATTAGATCACAAGTCTGGTCTTTTGTTAGCTCTCCGGTCATTGTGTTGGGTGACTGATTACATAACAGGCCCACAGGTCATAACTTAGGCCACAGGACACAAACTCTGACCACAGGTCAAGGGGTTAGATTAGATGGAACAGATTAGACTCCTAGTCACAGATGAGACAACTAGTTACAAATGAGCCTTCAGATTTCGGTCCAGGTTAGCCCACAGGTCACAAGTTAGACCACTAGTTATAAGTTAAAAACTGATTTCCCTTTTTTTTTTTTTTAGATTTTTTTTTTTTTAATTTACTTAGAGAGCAAGTGAGGGGAGGGGCAGAGGGAGATGGAGAGAGACTCTCAAGCAGACTCTGCATTGAGTTTGCAGCCTGACATGGGGCTCGACCTCACAACCCAGAGATCATGACCTGAGCTGGAATCAAGAGTCAGATGCTTGGGGCGCCTGGGTGGCTCAGTGGGTTAAAGCCTCTGCCTTCGGCCCAGGTCATGATCCCGGAGTCCTGGGATCGAGCCCCACATCGGGCTCTCTGCTCAGCGGGGAGCCTGCTTCCCCCTCTCTCTCTGCCTGCCTCTCTGCCTACTTGTGATCTCTGTCTGTCAAATAAATAAATAAAATCTTAAAAAAAAAAAAAAGAGTCAGATGCTTAACAGACTCAGACACCCAGGAGCCCCTGGAAACTAATGTCTTGTCCACCCACCCCCTGCTCAGGTACACTCTAAGCACTTTTCATCACAACACTATACAATTACAGTTGGTCTTATTATGATCCCTGTAATACAAGGTAAGGAAACTGAGGCATGGGAAAGTTAACAGCCTTGCCCAAGATTACAGAGACATGAGGAGCAGAACCACGATTCAAACCCAGATAATCAGGCTTTAAAGTCCACACTCATAATCATGACATAAACTCCCTCGCACACATAGGGACCTGTTAAATGTTAGTGGAGGAATTTCTAGCCACGGGCCATGGAAAAGGTAGGGTTTTGGAGGAACAGGTCCTCCTGTACCCCCTCTAAGGGTCTTTGGTCACAGCCTGAGGCATCGCCTTCATTTATTCATTCAACAAACCTGGGACATTGGGAATACCACAATGAACAAGATGGGCCAAGGTCCATGCGCTCAAGGAGCTTCTAGAAGGAAAGGCAATTAATATCCTAGCGAATAAATATAATCACTAGAACTGTGGAAAGCATCCCGAAGGAAACCATCAGGATGTGGTGATGGCCAGTTAGGACAGGTGTGCAAATGTGAGGAGAGAAGCAGGCTCAGGCAGACCTTTCTGTTCCAGCAGTATTTCTAGGCATGTGACCCAGGTGGGCAGAGAGCAGCTTTGAAGAACTGGGCTGAGCAGGAGCTGGAGGGGAAAGGCCTCCCTCTCTCTTCCTCAATTAAAAGAGATCCCATGGGGGTGCCTGGGGAGCTCAGTCAGTTGGGCGTCTGATTCTTGATTTTGACTCTGGTCATGATCCCTGCGTTGGGCTCTGGACTCTGGCTCTTGGGGTTTTCTCTCTGCCTCTCTCTCTCTCTCTCTACCTTTCCCCACCATGTTATCTCTCTCTCTCTCTCTCTCTCTCAAATAAATAATTTCTTAGAGAGAGAGAGAGATCCCACAGAACCCTCCCAATGGACCAACCCACGGGTGTTTTCTGCCCCGTCGACCAGCCATCCTTCCATTCTGCCAAGGTAGAGAATCTTAGAATGAGACGGACCTAGCCTCAAAATCTCTATAAGGCAGAGGATCCACCCTCTGAAAAAGCGAACCGCTACAGTATAGCGGTTAGCGGACGGCGTGAATCCAGCTCAGATCCTAATCCCAGCTCCGCCAGTTCCCCGATGAGTGACCTTGGCCTCAGATTCCTCCTCTGTGGAACTTCCCCCCTTTCAGGGAGCAGCTATACGGACTTTCATCATTCTAGCACAGTGCCTGGCCAATAGTAAACACCCCACACATGGCAAGCGAGATTATCGGAATGACAGTGTAGAGGGCAGAGCAACTGCAGCCCATTTGCCACCAAGCCTCTCCTTTCATAGGTCAGGACAGGAAGCGAGTTACCCAGCATTTCCCAGCCAGTCAGTGGGGGGTTCTAGAACCAGAACCCAAGACTCTGACTCCCAGGTGAGGGCAGTTCCTATAACTACTCTTAACACATCATCACATTTCGACCTTCTGATGACCCGGAGACCCAGAGTTGCTATTTTCTCCTACATGATCTGTACCTCCTGCCCTGCTCGTCTCTTTGACTTCATCTTCTCTCCTGGTGCACTCCCACTCCAGCCATATGGGTCTCCTCAAGGCTCCTCAGACACATCGGGCACCCTCCTGCCTCCTGGTGCCTGAGAAGATCTTAATATTCTCACCACAGTCAGATCTCTGCTCAAAAACGACCTTACAGGGGTGCCTGGGTGGCTCAGTGGGTTAAAGCCTCTGCCGTCAGCTCAGGTCATGATCCCAGGGTCCTGGGATCGAGCCCCACGTAGGGCTCTCTGCTCAGTGGGTAGCCTGCTTCCCTCTCCCTCTCTGCCTGCCTCTCTGCCTACTTGTGATCTCTGTCTGTCAAATAAATAAATAAAATCTTAAAAAAAAAAAAAAAAAAAACCTTACATGAAATGGTGAAAATACCTGAGACTGACTTCATGATAGTTCACTAAAACCAAGCTGGTTCACGGTGACGATTGTTGAGATTGGGTGAAGGTACACTGGGGTTTGTTATACTATTTTTAAATTTATGTTTGGCATTTTCTAAAATGAAAAGGTTTCTTTTAAAAATAGCATTACAGGGGCGCCTGGGTGGCTCAGTGGGTTAAAGCCTCTGCCTTCGGCTCAGGTCATGATCCCAGGGGCCTGGAATCAAGCCCCTCATTGGACTCTCTGCTCAGCGGGGAGCCTGCTTCCTCCTCTCTCTCTGTCTGCCTACTTGTGATCTCTATCTGACAAATAAAAAAAAATCTTTAAAAAATAAATAAATAAGTAATACCATTACATTATTCTCTACGTTTGCATTTAAAAAAAAAGACTCACCTTGTTCTTTATGTTAATCTCTCTAAATTCATGTAAATTTCAAGTTGTTCAGAATAAAAAATACACAGGGCCTCCCTTGACCATCCCCATCAGCTCTCCCATCCATACCTCCCCCCACTGCAAGCACACACCACACTGACCCCTGGCTCTGCTTCTATTCTTCTGAACACTTATCACCTGATATATCACCTGATATATCATGTGTTTATTTGGTTCTTTTCTGTCTAAAATACCAGCACCATGAAAGCAAGGACCTTGTTTTCTTTCCCTGACAGATCCCCAACAGCTGTCATGGTGTCAACCCAAAGTAAATATTCTTCAAAAAATATTTGTTGCGTGAACCCCACTTTAAGGATTAAGAAACTGAGGTGCAGACTGATTTAGGAAGTTGCCTTAAGGGGCCCAGCAGGTTAGAGGTGGGACCAGAAAACAAACACTGGTCTAGGCCTCCTCTATCCCCCAGAACCTTGGAGGTTATTACACACACACACACACACACACACACACATGCACACACTTACCTGGAGGCAGATGACCCAGGGCCAGGAGAGCCACAATGAGCAGCAGCAGCTGTGTCATGACCACAGAGAACACCAGAGGAGCCAGGCATACTGAGCTCTGCTGCCTGCGGCCCAGCCTTTATCAGGCTGCAGATGGCCTGAGTGGGAGGCTGAGGCTCTGTGAGGCCAAGGATGTAGCTGGATCTCAGCCAGCTCTGCGGCAAACTACTCAGCCATACAGTGAATGAGCGGCCGAGCAGCCGAGCTGGAACTAGAAGCTAAGTTGCCCGACAAGATACCAGTCACAGTCCATCTTGTAGGAAAGGGATGCTCAGAAGGCCAAACCACAGAAGGAGGCCAGGCATGAGGGGGTACAGTGTCTGCCCCGAGCCCTGCGGGGGCTGAGCTAATCTACAGGCCTGCTCTGGGAGTTGCTCTGAGCTGGACACCTGGATCCCCTCAGCCATGACAATGAACCCCACGCACAGGTACAGCCTGGTCTGCAAGGGCCCACATACAAACCCACCCCGGTCCTTCAAGACCTCAAAGGAAGCACCCTGCTCAAAGAGCCTGGATCCTGGTCCCTCAGATGGCCGGAATCACCAATTCCCTACAGCCAACTGCCCTACTCTATCACAATGTGTCTCTCCTTCTCTAAGTGCCTAAGAAGAATTATTTTTAAAGCCATGGGTGGTGATGGAAAGGGACAGTCGGCTGAGAGGCAGAATCCTGAACGGCAGGCCCAGATAAGCTTCAGTGTAATCATCCTTCTAGTGTTGTGCTGGAATTAAATGAGCTAATAATGGAGGCAAAGTGCTCAAATCATACCAGCCACAGCCCAAATGTCCAGTAAATATTCATCAGGGAGGGGACAGGCTTTCTTCCAGGCCCAGGACCGCCTCTTGCATAAAGAGTGCTTAACCTAGAACTTGGTGAATGAACGAATGGAATGCCAAAATCAGATATCCAGAAGTCTTCAATGCAGACTTCCTAGGCTCCCTCCTCCCCTGAAGCCACCTCCCCAGATTAATTCTCCATCCAGAGCTGAGTTTCTCAAAGTGGGGTCCATGAACTCTGCAAGATCACCGGGCATTTGTTTAATATGCAGATTCCTGAATATGCAATTGTTTAATATGCAGATTCCCTCAGAACGGGCTGAATCCCCCTCTCCTGAAGGGTGAGACCTCAGAATCAACATTCAACCAGCTCCCCAGGTGGATTCTGCGAGGGCTAAAGTTGGCGCGCCCCGTCGCTGGCGTGGATACAGAGGGGGTCCACACCCAGGAATTTAGAAATCCCTTCTTTCCTCTCTCTCGCCCCCCACCCCAACACTGCCACCACCACCCCAGGAGAAAGCCTTGCAGCAGTGGGTCAACCGAGCTCTGCGGAAAGTCGAGAAGTCGTTGGGCGGCGGAGGCCTCGGGGCGGGGACCCCGGGGCTGCCCTGACGGGGCGGGGCTGGACGGGGCGGGGTCGCGGCTCCTCCCCCGGCCCCGGCGGCTGGGCGGGACCTGCCCGAGGGGCTGCGCGCCGAGGCGGTCGTGCAGCCTGCAGCACCCGGCAGCTGCGGCGGCCGGGGACCCCGGACCCCTCCCCACGCGAGGTAAAGGCCCGCGCAGCCCGCCGCCAACTTAGTCAAGTTGGAGCGGAGTTCGCCAGGCGCCTGACTGGGGGGCGGAGGGCGGGGGGAGGCTCTGCGGCGCAGGCAGGGGCGAGGGAGGCCTCGAACCCACGTCCCGGGGTAAGGGTCCTCCGGCCTGGGGCCTGGTGGGTTGGAGACCCTCGGACAAGGAGCCCTCCCGGGATCAGGGGACTCACACCCAGGACCCGGGGCGGGGGAAGCTCGAACTCAGACTCCAGGAATGGCACATGCGCCCCCAGGCCCTGTAGGTCCCTTCCCCACCTCCCTCCAGGACCCTGTCCTATCACCAAAACTGGGTCCCCGCAGCCTCGAAACCCCCACCCCCCAACAGCCGCTGGAGGCCGTCGATCCAGCCTCTCCTGAATTTTTCACGTAGGGGGCGGGCCGAACACGCCGTTCCCATGGCACCAGGGTGCTCGGGTTACAGGCGAGGGAACCCCCAGACTCCCCTCGCCCTTTGCCCTTCGGAATACCAACCCACTCCATCCTGCCTCTTCCTCAGCTCAACCCACTTAGGAGATGGGGCCGCGGAAGGGAACCCCCCAGGGGCCCTCAACCCTCCAACCCTGATTTGAACCTTGGAGAAGAGAACTGTGGGGAAGGGGAGGACCGGGCAATTAAGGCGACTTTCGGAACATAGGTCCAATGTTCCAAATGCGAGGGGCACGTCTGTGTACACGGGTGTGTGCGTGCGTGTGTGGGCATGCCACCTCGCTGCTGCCCGTCTGTCTGTCTCTGTCTGTGTGTCCTGGAGCTTGGGGTCATCCTCAAGGCGTAGGAAGTGACCTGTGGTGTGCAAGCGTGTGCTCGTAGCTTGCACACTCACATGTCCCAGCCTGACCCAGGTTTACTCTGGCCCCAAAGCCAGGAAGCCCCCACCCCAAGGAGCTGAGGCGCCTCCTCCTGTCATTTGAACAAGAGAAGGTTTGGAGGAAGTCCTCTTGGGAGCTCATCTGGACCCTGCAATGCCTGGTTCACTACCATTCTTGCTTCTTGCTTACAGAAGGAAAGAAGGAAGGAACAAAGCCCCTCCCACCCAAGGATGACACTAAACACCCAGCAAGACACAAAGACCCCCCTGCGTCGGCGAGCCAGCACGCCACTGACCCTGTCCCCCCGGGGCCACCAGCCTGGCCTCCTGTGTGCAGCACCTTCCACAAAATCCCAGCATCCCCGGCTGGGCCAGTCAGCCTCCCTCAATCCTCCCACCCGGCACCCTTCGCCTGCCCCCAATGGTTGGTCCTCTGAATCCAGTGACTCCGAAGGCTCCTGGGAGGCTCTCTACCGCGTGGTACTGCTTGGAGACCCTGGCGTAGGGAAGACCAGCCTGGCCAGCCTCTTTGCCGGGAAGCAAGAGCGGGACCTCCATGAACAACTGGGAGGTAGGGACCCTGTGGGCTGGGTTGGGATGTGGCCAAAGGAGTGAAAGGCCTGTCGTCAGGGGCACAAGGCTGCCAAGAAGAGTTGTGCAACTCACGCACAGCTCAACTTGAAAGGGCATCATTCACATAGACTATGAAGTGAATGGTCCCCACACACACCTCCACAAGATGGTGCAGTGCACAGTCTGCACAATGGTCTATAGGAGAGAAATGCCTTGAATAGTGAGAAGGTTGCCCATTTCTCATGGATGAGGTATATGATTAATTTCCATGTCATAAGGGAAGCAATTCTGAGTTCCATGAATCTCAGATAGAAAGAAATGGCAGGCTTGCACCCCACTCAGAAACTCCCAGCCCTAACTTCCACTGACTCGCAGATCTTCCTAGCCCCACAGACAACCATCCATGGCTACCATGACCTACAGCAAAACTAAGATCCTGCCCCAAATGGAGACTCCCCAGGTTCCTTTATTCCCGAGAGATGCAGTGAGCTGAGAGGGTCAGGGACCCCAGGATGAGGGGAGACAGAGACAGGACAGAAGAAATGAAGAAGGGTTCCTACAGGACCAGCTGAGAGGACACAGACTGAGTGCAGAGGGAGGTTGGTTAAAAGCAAAGAGAAAGTGGGGACACTCTGGCCAGGCCCCTTCTCTAGCCTTGACCCCTCTGAGTGTGAGAGCCCCAGATGAGAGGTGTACGTATTTACTTGTAGGTGTGACAAATGGTGAGACTGAGGCCTGAAGAGGGTAATGTGACCTGCCCAAAGCCTACCCTAAGTTAGGGACAGAGAGGGACTGGGAGAATTCCCAGCCCAGCTTTAACCCCACCATCCCATGCTCATAAATCAACCAAACTGGCAAAAGCTTTCTCAGCCCCTACTACATATCAGATATGATGCTGGGAGCTGGGGAGACATGGGCTCCTCGTGGAGCTTCTTGACCTATCAGGAGAGATATCAAACAAGTGTGGAGCACAAGTGGGGTGGGGGAGGGCACTGTAACCAGAAAGGGAACTAGAGGGGCCACACCCTCCACATGCCTGCCCCTCCTCCCTGAGATCTGGCTCTTTCCTCGGTTGCAGAAGATGTGTACGAGAGGACCCTCACAGTGGATGGAGAGGATACCACGCTCGTGGTCATGGACACCTGGGAGGCTGAGAAACGGGTATGGCACAGTAAACAGGACTTGCGGGGAGGGATGCTGAACCTGGTACCAGACTCCTGTCCCCTCCTAGGTCACAAAACAGCAGGGACAGGGCGAGGCCATCCTCAGCAGCCCCCAAAACCCACAGCTTCCAAGCGGCCTTTGCAGCAAAGGCAGAAGAACCTTATGACCCCAAGTCCTTTTCTCACTCCACTGATCCCCTCTGCAGCCATCCCAGGAGGTGCAAACCTCCACCTCGTCTTCAGCACCTTCATCCCACTGCCCCCCACACGCACTGTGCAGAGGAACACTGCGTTTAGCACCAAAATGCCTGAGGGTAACCCCCCACACCTTTCTCTTCCTTTCCAGTCGTGTGACTTTGTGCAACTGACTCACCATCCTCAGTTTTCCCACCTGATAAATGGGTTAATCATTCCTGCCTTCCTTACCAGCTGGTTTTTTTTTAAGTTCTTAACCAATTTCACAGTGGTGACCACAGTTTGGAGCATGCAACAATGCTGAACATAGGTGAAGAAATGTAAATTATGATCATTCTTCTTCCTTATAACTTGGTAGCTAGTAAAGAAGGAAACCAAAGGATGTCCTCCCCTACCGGGTTCCAGAGTAGGAAGAAAATAACAGGTAGGGATATGCCCCTTGTTATTCTTTTCTTACCTTGTTTGAGTTTTCCTTTGTCTTGCTATGCAGATAATACATGCTTATTGTAGAACTTTGAAGAAATACAACCAAGTAGAGAGAAAGATGTAAAAATCACCTGGGAGCCTATCTCTCTAAAGGGCAGGCCCCGCCCCTAACATGCAGGGAGGCCACGCCTACAGGGTGGGGCTTAGGAGGGCACTGTCCGGTGATTGACAAGAATGGCTGAGAGCTCCAGTGATAGGACGAAAGGATAGGGAAGATGCTAAGGGGCTGATTCCTTTCCACGAGGATAAAAGGACACCCAGCTCCAAATGAGCATGATAAC